AGTTATAATTGTAAATAGTATTTATAAGTAGTCTCCTTTTTCAAATTTAAAACAAACCAATCCCACCAAGGTGGTCATTCTCTAAAACAGGCCTGATAGGACTAGGAACTGTAATTAATAATAATTGAAATTTCACAGGAACTAAAGTTGAAAAGACGCATCTGTGTCACTTGATAAGTTATACATGTAAACCACACAAATTCAAGAAATATAGATCATTTAAGTCAAAAAAAAAAAAAAAAAAAGTGCTTTTGCTCATTGTCGCTTCGGACGGCGTGGCACTTGGTCCTGCAGCAATCATGACCAAGTCAGCGGCTAAAGTTGGATCACGGCGTGTCCACCACAATGAGGAATGATACTTGGAAAATTATGCATGTTAAACCCCCTCTACCCCGCCCCCCCCCCACCCTACCGTCAACTTCTCCACCCCTAACAACAACCCAAAAAATACACGATCACTTTTTTCCGGGAAATAAATTTTAAGCAAAACCACAATTATTAGTAAAACAAAAGTTTTTCCGTTAATTTCTTCCCGCACCAAAACTTTCAAATTTAAGAAAAAAAATTACTTGAAAGGCATATTCGATGATTTATATTGGTGAATTACACACAGCTGACTGTAAAACATATCTGGTACCTCTATATATGCAATTAGATTAACATCCAAAGTCCATCATTTTTTACATATTCTGCACAAAAGATACGTTCTGCCCCGCCCCATTCATAATAATAAGTTTAATAGTCAAAAATGCATGCCAAACATCAATTTTACGTGGTTCTACGTCATACTGCGGTCGTGTCTAGGACACAACCCTTTAAATTTTTTTTTGTTTCAAATCTGAAAAATGATGCTTTCTCCTTAATTATTTTCCAGGTAATAATATTTTGGCAAGTTGTCGACTGGGAAAGTGATTTCTGGTGAATAGTTTTTCGGGTATTGTCGTAGAATCGTTTGATGAAGGTTGACGTATGTATTTTCTCAATAAAAAAACAAGCTAAGATTAATTTTAAGTAAGATATTTTGAAAATTAGTCCTACGATCACATTACAGCATCTGGTGATGTCGTGAATCCATACAGATTTCGTTCATTTTGTATACAAAACTGTACTGAAATCCGAGGGGTGCGACACATCTAAATATCGATTTTATATGATCGAAAAATCTCACACTAGCGAATCAATCAACGAAAAAAAAAATTTCATCTCTTGCATTTACACCCATCTACTTGCATCGCTCTCCACCTTTTTGCAGGCAATCTTCAAAATCATAATCAATCGCGTTTCTATCCATTAAGCGCGATTGCATCTCACAACTGTAAAGCAAAAAATTTGTAGGCTGGCTTGCAATGAGCACTGATACATCTAGTTTTCACTAGAAATCCTATATATGAGTGCTCATTGCAAGCCAGCCTATATTACGTGATATAAGCCATAGTCTGTCCGGGGTAGAGCTTCCATTTACCGGTGGTTTTCACCATCCCGGGATTCGGGAAATATTTATTTGATATCCCGGGAAATCCCGGGATCCCGGGAAGTCAATAAAGGCAGTAAATTGTTTTAATATTCGTATGTATCTAATTTCTTTTAGCGATGTTCTGAAATGTATGTTTCATCTCCTTAGAAGAATGATTAAAAAAGGAGGTTTCTTTAATACTAGGGACACCAGATTTAACGACATATCTTCATTTTGAAGACATTTAAAATTCTGTGAAGGCAGATATGCAGACATTTTGAAGACATTTCATGATATGTGAAGTTGTTTCAAGACATGCGGAAGCTGAAGCAGACTTCCGATGGTTTTTTTTTTTATTTTAAGCTGGCATATGAAGATTTTTTTTAAATAAATGAAGTTTTTGATTTCATATTTTAAGCTTCTTCCTGAATATGTTGAATATGAATAATGTAACCAAAATCGGATGTTCCAAAATAAAACTTGATCCAATTGAATATTCACAGGACTTTCACGGAAATATTCGATTAGCTGGAGATCTTTTGAATACTTCCTGATCAACGTTCAGTTTTGGGAGAATATCTTCACAATAATACTTGATCGACCTGAAGTCTTGAAAAATATCCAGAGGTCTTTAAATCTCCGACCAGCTGTACATCCTTTAAATACTCTCTCATCAAACTTCCGTCTGGGAAGGATGTCAAGAAGACGTCTTTTGAATTTTTGAACACTTAAAAATATTCAGAACATTACTTGATTAAGTTGGAAAGTCTTGAATAATATCCAGAGATATCATCACAAATCCGTGAATAGCAGTTATACGAAGATTCGTGTACTTTCAAGAAGTTTCTTGAACTTAAGCTCAGTGCCATGAAACGCAAAGCCTATATAAAGTTCCCTGAATATGTAGAATATTCTACGGAATCCTGGGATTTTTCGGCAACTTCTTCGAAGTTCCCAGTACTTCAAAGATTTTTCCATAGCTTACATCTTTTAATTTTTCGATGGGTACAACTGAATTTCTGCCCAGTTTGCTGAACTTGTATGAATTTCAAATAATTCATGCGATGTTCCGTAATCATCTTCCACGAAGTTGTTTAATATTCTACGAAGTATCCTGAAGATCTATGATGTTCCCTGAACTTTTACGAAGTTCCACGAACTTCTATGAAGTTCTCTAAAATCAAATGAATGTCTCTTGACATCTAAGAAGTTCCCTAATGGGACGTGATATTATGTCTGTCAGCCAAACTGCACAATAGTCTGTGCAGATCATGATGATTATGGTGGATGATTTCTCTCATGAATGTATTTGTAAAAACTATTTTGCCGTGCTTTAGGATTACATTGATTACATACTAACGGGTAAAGGTAATGCATACCTTTCAACGTAACGACAAGATTCCGCTAGCTAATCTAAGGAAGGACTCTAAAAACTGCAAATACTGAGTCTTTTCATCAGTTGAGACTAGCACTACGTACTTCCAACCATCTTAACAATGCATTTCAATGGTTTTAGATCAACTATGAGTGATGGACATCTCACGACGTTCAACCTGATTGAATCAAAATGTTCACGGTTTGTTTCACTGCTAGATCGTATTTTTCACGAGTGCTTCTTGTACAACGATCATATACAAAACGTGATGTCTGTGTGCAATTCTTTCGAAAAATCAGAATGAATGGCAAACTAAGGGAAGAGATATATTTCATAAGATGTAAAAGTTCTGGATTCAAATTCTGCTACAGATATTCCAAGAAAGGTTTAAAGTGTTAAAAGAGTCTCAAATAAAAAAATCCTGGGGTACACGCGATCCCGGGATTTTTAAATTAATTTCCCGGGATTCGGAAATCCCGGGAAATGTAACAATCCCGGGACATCCCGGGTTGGAAGCTCTAGTCCGGGGTATTAGATGGAGTCGCCTCCCTCGCTAAAATCCAACATTCCTTGGTTGGTTTGTAGTATGTGTTTGATTCTCGATAAGTTTAACCTCGATTTCATCACTATTGTTCAACTTATCAAATGACATTTTATGCATTTTATTGCCATGAAAAACCAGTCTCAATTTACTCTTCAATTAAGTCAAATAGGGGAATTTACGTATTCTCGGCAACCTAAGCAGCAACAATCTTTCTATAGCCTTTTCGCTAAGGAACGCACACATATGCAGTATAGGTTTGTTTACAATATTTTGCTGTCAGCTCGCAGCTGCTCTAACAATTTCAGTCGAAAGAATTGTCAAAAACTGTTTTGAAACGCTTTTACAAAGCTCCAATCTTCTCTAGTGAGAGCGCCTATTGTGGGCATGTGGGCAACATCTTTTATTTGAGCTGCTTGTTAAGCAGCTGTGCTTTCATCGGCAACTCGAAATCAGCAGCATTTTGTAGTGCGTTTGTTTCATTTCAAGAAAGCCCGTTGTTGGGGGGTGGGGAGGGTGATATCCATCTCCAACGGGGGAGTTTGGTAACGATGATCAAACCGATTTGTACCTTCCTCAAAAGTTGTCCTTGCTCGCTTTCTACTCTCTATACACAATTTTCACACTGCCGTACTCTAACGGAACTATCAATTCTATTCTTTCATATCCTCATCTATCGTATAAAAATTGCCTCTTTAATCTGTTATTTGAAATTAGCATCTTCAAACTAAGAAAACTTTGCTAGATTGCTTTTCTCAGTGTTAAAAGTATAATCAAATTGAAGCTGAAAGCCTAAAAATAGTTTGAATTCATTCAGCGAAGTGTTTTCGTAAGAAAATCCAGTGAAATTAGCGTTTCAATTTGGGTTGCCGAAAATAGTCTGTCATGCCGGAGCCGTCATTTCCCCTATACAAATAATAATGCAAATGGGAAAAATCTGAATTCTCGATTGAACAACGAAATTGCCGACTTTGTCCGGTTATTTATTGATTCCCGAACGGGTGGCCACCCTGCACTATTGTATGGGAAAAATATAAATTTAAATAAATTCGCAATTTACTGCACATTTTTTGCCGAAATGTAGGGGAAATGGCTCTAATGTTGGCCTATGGATCTAAGATTGGGCACATCGCTAAAAATTTGCTATTTATCAATTGTATCTAGATGGCGTCATTGGACGGTAGTGTACTAATGGATATTTTTGGTTGCTATTGAAAATTTAGTCGATTGCTGAATTTATGTATGGACCCAAATTAGGGACACCTAGGCCGACATTACATACATTTCCCCTACTTCGCAGAATTATGGCTTTTTACGCAATGTTTTTACAGTAACAGTTTGTTTTTTTCAAAGACCGACCTCTTTGGTTCTAGTAAATAAGTATTGAGAATATGCAGATTTCTCATACAACCTAATTGATTACCCCTCTAATGTTGGGTGATGGCACCTCTTTGATAACTTTCCATTGAATAGGTACGATGCAAATGGTCAATGTGATACAACTCAGCAAAACAGTTTTCCATGTGACTATTGGTATGTGTTTAGTTGTTATTTTTTCATAATTGATATCCATCATTTTACTTCACATTTTACATTGTGAGTTTTGTTCTTTTTTTTTATAGATATTTCAATTGTTTAAGGTTAGCATTAAGTGTAACTTATGTACAGTGAAAGACGGCCTTATCTGCCTGTTTCTCATTACTTTTTTTCATGTAACTTACAATTTCCTACTGAATCAATCGCTTTAATTTTCCAAATATTTTACTTTATTTTACCAGCTGTTGGGTATTTGCTTTGTTCGATTAACATTTTTACTTGTATGTTTGTAAACTGCATCGCTTGCTACTTTAAATCTACCGTAAGAAATTAGTGTTGCTCGGTTCCGCCTTTCGACGGACCTCGCTCAAATTCAATATCTTTAATTTATCTAAAAACTTGTCTCCTCTTTTGTAGCAAATTTTGTTTGGATTTACTTTTCTACTCAAGAAAACAGCTACAATTACAAATTACATACGATTTCCGGTTTTGTTTTGCTAGAAGAATATGCTTTTATAGGTTTACTGCTACTTTTACAATGGTTTTCTGTAAGAATTCGAGTCATGAGAGCGCACCGAATAACAAAAGTCGTACAATAGTCGTAAGAAAAATTAATCAAAGGATTAGAGAATAAAACAAACAGTAGATAACATTGTGGGAGGGATCTTTTTTAACAGAAATGGGTATATTTTAAACGAGAAATTTGAAATGAAAATAAACTAAAGCTGAAACAAACAAAAAAGAAAGCGAATGCGGCTTGCTAATAGAGGTAGCAAAATAAGTGCAATTACGTCACAGAGAGTAAAACCTTCTACTATAATTAATTGGACACAGTTTCAACAATACTATTCTTGATAATTTCGCTTAAATTTTCGCTTGTTTCGATAATCGGTCCACTGCTAGCGGGGTTGGAGCTGCCTGGTGGTTCCTCTTTTTCCGAACTGTCCCCATTTGGCAGCTGCTGTTGGCTTGTTTCGTCTTGAGTATCATCTTCGGTGGAACATGGTTCCGAGCTGTCGACCACACTGGACAGGGGCATTACCGGAGGATCCCGGAAGTCACTCAGTTCATCGTCTTCTTCGGCGATGATGGACCTCCGGGCTAAGGTCAACTGGTGACGGCTGCTCGCGAGGAGATCATTGATGGCCTCCAACCGGTCGCTATTCGAGGCAAGGGGGGTGTTGAGGTCGATGAAGTCAGCACTTGGCGGGCTGTGGTTCGGCGGAGCGGGATCCAGTGGATCTTCTGTCGGCTGAGGGACCGGATCGCTGGAGGAACATGAAGTTTGTGAATCCTGCTGCAGGTCCACGTGTGTCCTGGAGGTACTGGGTTGAGTTTCGGCCGAAGAACTATGTTCGTCGCAGCCAAAGTTAGGATTGATGGGGGTATTAAGCGTAGCGTCTTCGTCCAGGATTGCCGAACTGCTGCTGGGGGTGCTTTCCATCTGACTATGATAGGGGGAATGTGGGTCAGGTTGCCTTTGATCTAGGACCAGGTTCGAGTGGTGAGGTTGATGGTACTGTTGTTGGTCCATGCTCGTTGGGTAATTTCCGTAGTACGGGGCCATAAGCGAACTGGACATAGATAGCTGATCGTTGGCCTGCTGGGTAGTTCCGTAATAATCCCGGAAAGCGTAGTGCAGATCTAACGATTCAGTGCCTGCGGGGACTGCGGGGGAAACCGAATGATTGGCTAAATAGTTATGACTTACTGCATATGGATGCGGCTGGTGGGTAGTTGGAAGGTGGTGATGATGGTGGTGGTAACTGTCGACGGCATCGATACCATTGACTCCCACCATACCATACAGCCCGGGTAATCGCACTGGTCCACTGGACCAGTCCTTACTATTACCATAACCGCCCGCCGAATGCATTCCCATGCCAGCGTGTTCCTCGCTGTTCGCTTTGTTATCTAAATTTATCCTCATGATCGTATGAATGAAATGTGTCCGCACCCGGGCCGGATTGAACTCAACCCTTCCGACCACATTGGCGCACCCATCCTGCGTACAACCGCAGGGGAAGCTTGGCCTGTCCACCTGACATTTGATACCCGCCTGACTGCAGGAGCACGTATCCGGATCGCAGTACCCTCGACAGGTACAGCCGCACACTTCCCGCGAGGTTCGTATCACTCGGCATTCGTCCTTCTCCGTGGAATCGATTTTTCTCACACCGGCCGCTTTGAGCAGAGCTCGCCTCTGCCGGGTGGTGACCGGTTGCAGGAAGCCATAGGATTCACTTTCCGCCTCGGATCCACTTTCGCTGGGTTCCTCCTCGCTGTCGGTTTCCTCGCTCGAACTCGAACGGGGGTTCAGTTCCTGCAGCTGGGCCCGGTGCATCTTGCGCTGTTCGGCCGCATGCTCGGCCAGAGTGAAGCGTCTGAAAAAGGGTGTAAAAGGTTAGCTTAGCTTATGCCTAGCGCTTTATAAGTCATACTTACTTCGAGTGTACGTGCTGGAACTCCATTCCGAGCGTGCAACCGCCCTGTGACGGTACACACCCAAAGCCTTGCATCCGCGTGAAATAGTACACCGTGACGCCGTCGAACGTAATGCCCTTCTTTGGTCGCTTTTCCGCGCTCGCACCGGTGGTTTCCTCCGCCGAACGCCGCTTGAGATTACTTTTCACCGGTGGAAGCTCGGTCATTTCCTTCTCCAATGTCGATAGATTCCTCGATGGTTCCGAACCCAAGCCGGAATCAGACCCATCACTTGCTTCCTCTTCTTCGTTTTCCTGAGTTACCACAACGACGGCACTACCGTCGGTCACTTCCGTTGCCGATTCCGTCACCCCTACCACTCCCCCATTCACATGCCTTACATCGGCAAACGCTTCCGATTCTCCATCCACCATTTCAGCACTCTGACCAATGATCGACACATTCGGAGTGTCGCCACAGGAAGCCGTCGTGAAGCTTTCGTCCTCCAGGCTAGTAGACTTGGTCTCATCGTGATCCCCATTTTCCAGCGATAACGCACTCTCATCGTGTCCATTAACACTAGAATTCACAGGTTCAAGCCCTTCAGCACTGCATATTACATCACCAGCGCCACCGCCATCATCTTCATCGTCCTGCCGGGCGGCGGGGCTCTTTAGATTTGTCATATCAACCAGGATGATCTGACCGGTCGAACTGTCCAGCTCGCTGTTGGCCGTTCCAGTCGTCACAGCACTGGCATTGCTCACATTCAGCACGTCGTTATCACATTCGTCCAGGGCGAGCGGATCGTACAGGGGATCCTCGCAGTTTAGCTCCTCCGAAGTCATCATGTCGTGCGTTGCTTCCATCGTCGGTGGTTCCTCGTTAGGACCCATAGGAGCCATTCCGTTGGTTGTTAACCTGGGGGGAGGGAGATGGAGAAAGCGAGGGCCTGGTTAGCGATTTCGAAATATGTGCATGGCATGACTATTTAATGAAAGTTTATATCTTCTTAAAAAAGTTTTTTTTCCGTGCTGAGCACCAATGCTACGGACGCCAGGGAGGCAGCTCGCACACCTGGACCCTACCTATCGACCCATCAACTCATGAACCGGGGACCAACGGCTTTACTTCCCTTCTGAAGGAAGGCATGAGCAGAGATGTTATGCCTCAGAACATCCCGGCGGCGCCGACTGGGATTGATCCCAGGCCTGCTGGGGTGAGAGGTTATCACGGTTATCACTACACCACCGGCGCCACTAGTTAAAAAAAAGTTAACACGTTTGTTTTGAAATATTGTTTATTGCACCACCTATTATATAGTGAGCCAATTTAAAATCGTTAGTTGGTTGTACAGTGCTGATAAAAATCATTCCTACTACACTCAACTTAGATAATGGAGACAACCTTAACAGATAGACCAACTACCTGCATGAATTTGAATTTTGACATAAACACATTCTCTTGATCAAGGCAACCTCTGAGTATCGAAGTCAACATTTGTTTTTATTCATTCGTGGCTGGATGTTTATTATCGCCTGTGTTCTTGTCAATATCAATATTCATCTTCATCTTGGTGGGGATGATTTTGATGATCATGTAAAATTATTGCCTCATGCTGAATTGAGGTTTTAGGCTCTGGAGTCGACATTATTCTAAATAATTATTTTGCCCAAAATTAATTTGATTATTTTGCTTTTGAGGGTCGCTTCTGATTTTGACAATTTTGGGTTGGATAATCAAGCAGTGGTGAATATCAACAAACGCGTATTCGTTGATGTATAATGATCTCATTATACATAATTTGGAGAAATCAGTATGTGACTGCGAAAGACAAGTTCGATGTTTCAGAATCCATCAGGAAACAGCAAGTGTCGAAGTTCCCCTAGAAATTCATGATTTGGCAGGCGATTGGATCGTGCGGAAAACGGAGCAAGCCTTTTGTAACAACCTACAACCGCAAATAGCCTAGTCTACATGAACGAGTGCCTGAAGTAACAACTGCTTCCGTTTCTCAAATCACACAATGTTCCTACAATTTTTTTTGGACAGATCTAGCCTCTTATCACTACTCCAAGGACGTTCTGGAATGGTGCAAGACGAATGGGGTCAATTTCGTGCCGAAGGATCTAAATCCCCAAAACACACCGGAGTTGTGGCCGATCGAAAGATACTGGGGTATAATGAAGCACGAACTCCGTAAGCATCCTAAAGTTGTCACTACGGAGCAGGAGATTATGAAATCATGGTTGAAAGCAGAAAATAAAGTCGATTCAACCCTTTTTACCAGTGGCGTCCCGTAACCTCACTTTCACCAACTTTCAAAACCAGATTTAATTGCATATTCATACTCGAATCGGTTGAAAAATAAACTTAATCTCCTAGTTTACTCGATATCTATCAATTGCAAGCAATATTTTGATAATTGTTTATGTTTTGAGAGTTGGTGCACAGGTAGATTGAGGTTAAGGAAACGCCACTGCCTTTTACAAAACCTTATGGGTGGAATTAAGAGGAAAGTTAGGGCATTTGGATTTGGTGAAGAAATAGAGTGAGAAAAAGATACGTAACCCAAGCTTATATAGTATTATATTCTCAGAAAATGTCATAACAATCGGTTGAGAGACTTATTTTTGGCGAGTACTTCTAAGTAATGCAATTCAACTGTGGACACCCTTTAGAGAACAGCGAACACACTTTTTCCTTGTGTCAAGATCATCCTCGGTGGACAAAGCTTAGTCTACTATCAACAAGGCATACAAAGTGAAAAGACTGACATGTGTTCCTTTGATTAAAAAAAATCCTGTTCGCCTAGTTTGAAGCTGGGACGGGACTTGACAATCGAGCTTCTTACTTTTCTTAATGTGTTTGATGAATGCCCTTCGAAAATTTGTGCGTGGTGTTTAACGAAATTGACCAATATTTTAATTTGGAATCATCTCTGCTCAACACAATCAAAACAACAATAAACATACAGCAGCACTTTAAATACGCAGTGTTCTCAATTCGTCAACTTTACTATCACAAATATAAGCTACTAGCAACTCCATTGAAGTCAACATGGCTTCCGGCATCACTGTCAGTAAGATTGCTGTGATCCCTCTGTTCTTTTTATTGCACGATTGCTACTGTCAAATCGACCAATCAGCAACTGGCTTGGATTTGACATAGCTACCCGATTGTCAAGTCCCGTCCCAGGTTTGAAGTACACTCATAAATAATTCAAAACATTGTTAGATTAAAAAGTATTATTTTTTCGATAAATGCGATTTAAACATCGCTTAGTATAAAAAAAAAATCTATCTTAGATTTTAAATTAATCATAACATTGAGTCTGAAACGAAGATTCCTTAGTAGTATAAAAAGATAGGTGAAACGCGTACCATTCTGGATTATTTTTTTTTAAGTGGTAGCAATCATTCCATTCGACAAGGTCAGTAAGTTATTATAAATTAATTAAAACGTTCAGCTGGAGGCGAACCAGCCCAAGGTTGAATGCCTCCTTAAAGAAAACCTAACCTAACCTTAAACGATCTTCGACTTAATAAAATATTCCACACAAGAGTGCAAACAGCCTTGATTGGATCTTTCTTTACATCAGGAAGAAATTTATTTATTTATTTGTTTAATTAATCATCTGACTGTTGTCTACATAAAAAATCTTAAAAACTATACCATTCATGCGTTTCTAATACGAGTCAAAAAGCGAGCAGAAGGTTCCCCAAATTCAAACAATTCTTCAACAGCCGTGAACGTACGCATCATAGTTGTTAGTGGTTCGTTGTAACCGAATGCTGTTCGATGGTATCGTGGTTGGAGTAGGGTACCACTTCGTAATGTTCTCGGCGGCACTCGGATATCTAACAGCGAAAGAAGACTCACGCAGTCGACATCCCCATTCAATAACTTGGCAACTAATGCTGCCTGTTGATTCTTCCGTCGACGTTCCAGGGTTTCCAAACTCAGCAAATTGCAGCGATCAGAATACGGCGGGAGATTTTGCGGATCGCGCCACGGTAGGTTACGCAATGCCATTCTCATAAACTTTCGCTTAACACCTTTGATCCCCAAGTTCCAGGTCAACTGATGAGGAAACCAGACCAAGGAGGCGTTTTCCAGGATAGGTCGAACAAGGGAGTAATAAAGAGCTTTCAAGCAGTGTGGGTCAGAGAAGTCTTTTGATATTTTCGACACGAATTCTAACTGACGGTTAGCCTTGGTGATCACAGCAGTACGGTGGAGGTTAAACGATAATTTATTATCTAGTAGAACGCCTAGATCGCTGAACTGGTCGGTTCTTTGCAGTATAACACCGTTGATGGCATAATCGAAAAATAATCGGCTGCTTGATGCGGTAAAACGACATTACCATGCCTTTTGGTATGCTCACGGTAAGCCTATTCCGATTGCACCAACTAACGAATAGATCCAATAGCGATTGAAGACGAATACAATCCTCAGTACATCGCACCACGAAATACAGCTTTATGTCATCGGCATACGCAAGCCTGCAACCATCTCCAAGTACAAGCAATACGTCGTTGAAGAATAAAAGAAACAACAACGGGCCAAGATTGCTACCCTGTGGTACGCCCGACGAGTTCGTAAAATACTAGGAAGTACTGGAATCAAGTTTAACCCACAAAGACCTGCAAGTCAGATACGAGCAAAACCACGATGTCAACCGATTTGATGTGCCGAGTTTGGATAGCTTAGCCAACAGAGTATCATGGTTGATCGTATCAAACGCTGCTTTTAGGTCCGTATAGATGACGTCTACTTGCGCCCCAGTTGTTCGAAACACGTCGTGGTAAAAACCAGGAGATTTGTAGTAACCGAACGTCCTGGCATGAAGCCATGTTGGTCGCAGGAGATGTAACATTTGGTACGTTCAAGAATTACCCCACTCACAATTATCTCAAACAGTTTTGAGGCAGCTGAAAGGTTGGTGATACCTCTGTAGTTTTTAACATCACGTTTGTCTCCTTTCTTGTGTACTGGAACCATAAATGACTCCTTCCCGACAGCAGGAAATTTTGACTCCACAAACGATGCATTAAAGATTCTGCAAAGTGGCTCAACCAGAATATTGGAGTTCACGGCAATACACTACAGGAGGAATGCCGTCTGGTCCAGGCGTGACAAGACTCGCAGGAACATCCGAAATAGCAGAGGCAAGTTCAGCCGATTCGACAGATTCTGTGACAAATACTGACGAAAAATGAGCAGCAAAGAGCTCACATTTCTCGTCGCTTATCGATGTTTCACAACATCATTGAGAAAAATGGTTGCGGGTTTAGTAGAATTTTTCCTCTTCGAGTTTACGTACATCCAAAAGCTCTTGGGGTTTCGTCTTAGGTTAGTTTGCACACGCAAAACGTACGATTTGTAGAACGAAGAGTTAAGCTTACGGTACTCGTTGCACGCCAAGTGAAAGCTACGTTTATTAGCCAGAGAACGAAATCGCCGTAATCTACGTTGCGAAGCATTACGTTTGCGTTTTAGTTTTCGTAGCAATGCAGTGCTCCAGGCAGGAAAAACAGCAGGTCGACGAATCGGTACATTTGCATCCATCCAATCATTTAGCATAACGCACAACGTTTCACCCATTTCATCAGCATTCATTCCATCAAAAAGAATATCCCAGTCGATACTCGACAGGAAATCCAATAGAGCACCGAAATCAATCTTGTTGTAGTCTAACGAAATTCCATCACTGTCATTCTCATCATGCAGCTGTACACCATTGACAATTAGAGATGGTAAGTAGACAACAAGCGGTGGATGATGAAGGTCGACAGGCAAAAGTGGTGACACAGATCTTGAGATATGCATAATCCGTAGGGCAAAAGAGCAAATCGAGAATGCGTCCCAAGTGGTTGCGCTCGAGATTCATCTGATGCAAATTGAGGAAATCCATGCCATCAATCAGTAGGGAGCTAGCAATTGGTAATGGCACAGAGTTCACAGGTCGAATTTCGCCGTCAGACCAGTTCCAAAACACTCCAGGTTGATTATAGTCACCGCAGACCAGCATGCATTCGTTGTCAGAACCTCTGTTATGCAGCTCATGGATCGACTGAACACAACATCAAATTTAGATTTCAATTTGATCTCAGACTTTGCTCTGGAGTTTACCTACAACGCACGGTACCAAATATGGTCTTGGATACTCTACTAACCCTAACATCGAGAAAATCCTACTAAGGCACCACTAAAGCCCTACAGTAAAAGTATGGACGACTGTCACCACAAAACTGAAAAAAGCTGTTCCAATCGAGCAAAGCGGTGCATTTTGACGGTTCGGTTGGAACAACTTTTGACAGACGTCCATACTTTTACTGTAGGGCTTTAGGCACCACGACACAGTAGTTAATCCCCAGTTCAGAAGACTCCCAGCTTTATATTTGCAAGATTCTAAACTCTACTGGAAGGCACTGGTACCTGATGTCGGTTCAACGTTCAATTCAATAAAATCATAATTTCAGTCCGCATCGTGCTCTCTTGTCGTGTGGATCTATTTGCTTTTTGCTGAAGGAAGTGTTACTACTACCTAAAGCTACAACAAATTTAAACACCACTTTTCAGTGCTCAACCTGTAAAATTTCTACCTTTTTCAACTCTTATTCCTTTTCGATCCATGTTTGGACCCTACCCGAGATAATCCTTCTTGGATATCGAATTGGAAAATTCCTCTTCGATCCTTCAGATTCTTATAGTAATCTGCTTGGAAGTAGATTTTGATAAAAATTTACTGCCGCCGTGGCGCCTGAGCGCAAAAGAAAGGGGCAAACTCTTGATCCCCCTTCTGATGAAATAAATTTGAATGATCCATCATCCAGGAAAAAATCTAGTAAACTTTCCCGGCTTAATGCCAAGAAGGAAAAGATTCCCCCTATTGTGATAACCACTACCATGCTCTTGGCATGGAACTTTTGAACAAGTTTTCACTACAAATTGGACGTCGGGGTGAATGCCGTGTATTAGCTGTAACCTTGGACGGATTTAAATGCCTTCTCAAGTATCTTACTGAGAAGCAGCGCAATTTTTTTACTTACGACACCAAAACTGAACGTGTGTTCAAGGTTGTCATGAAAGGACTGCCCAGTGGTGAATCCCTGGATCAGATCAAAGATGAACTGGCAAAATTACTTGGAGTTGTGCCACTACAAGTAATCAAAATGAAAATGAAATCCCGTCCTGGCGATTCACGCAACGAGATTTCTAATGATTTTTATTTAGTTCACTTCAAATCTAGCGAACTAAACAACCTAAAGGCCTTGGAAAAAGCTATCCTCATGCTCCATGTCCGAACACTTCCGGAAGACTGGAGGAAATTTCCAAAACCACACCCAGTGCCGCAAGTGCCAGGGATGGGGTCACGGAACTAAAAATTGCTACATGCCAGCTAAATGCATGAATTGTGGTGATTCCTCTCACGACTGTCCTGTGAAGGAAAATTATATGTTCAAATTGTGGTGAAAGCCATAAATCCATTTTTTGGGAATGTAAGACTCGCAAAGCGATCCTACAATCTCGTTCTAAGCTCCCCTAGCTGGTAACTATGTTCAGCAAGTAAATGGAGCTACCTATGCTGCTATTGCAGTGGGTAGAAATCAAAATACTAACCAACGTAATTCTAACGGAAATTTTGACTTAGGGAGCATAACTGCTCCTAGTTAAAATGGAATTTTCACAGAAATCATTAATTGACATGATTACTGATATGCTTAAAACTAACTCCATGTTTGATGCTATTCAAACTGGAGTAAAATTTGCAAACAATATTGTCATGACTTTGAAATTCAGTAATGGATTTTAAAGCATGAAATATTTTAATGCTCGATCTCTTAAAGATAATGAGAGCTCATAACGTGCATATTGCGGTTAAAACCAAATCCTTGAACCTGGCAATAAGGTTAAAAGGGACGCAAATTATTTCATTTATTGAAATGATCGTCTTGATGGACCCTGTGGTGGCGTTGCCATCATTGTTCATAGACGAATCAAACATAAAATTTTTCCTTCATTTGAAACCAAAGTTTTTGAAACTTTGGAAGTTTCTGTTGAAACAAAATTTGGACAACTTACGTTTATAGCTGCCTATTTGCCATTCCAATGCGCAGGCCAGCAAAAGAATTTTCTCAAGGGCGACCTTCTGAAACTTACCCGTCATAGGTCTATTTGTGATTTTAATGCAAAACACCGCTCATGGAATAATGCTCAAAGCAATACCAATGTAATATTCTGTTTGATGATTGTTCTGCAGGTTATTACACTATTCAATATCCAAACAACCCAACATGCTTTTCTTCAGCAAGAAATTTCTCAACTATTGAATTGGTCTTAACTGATTCATGTCAACTTTGTAGCCAATTGGTTACTCATGCTGACTTCGGTTCTGATCACCTTCCAGTAACTTTTGAAATATCCCATGAAAGAATCTTTAATCCCTACAGCTCTATTTTCAATTACCATAGAGCTGATTGGGAGCAATATAGAACATTTATGGAATATAACTTCGATCCAAACATTCCTTTGCAAACCAAAGATGAAATTGATTATGCTCTTGAATCTCTGACTACTTCTATAGTTGAAGCAAGAGCTACCTCAGTACCAAAAATGCGAGGTTAAATTCGATTCAATTATAATAGACGACGATCTTCAGCTCTTGATCCGTCGGAAAAATGTCCGTAGGAGGCAATATCAAAGAAAAAGGGATCCTGCCATGAAATTTATCTGGCGAGGGTTGCAAAAACAAATTGAAAACTTTTGAAAATAATGTTTCCCAAGTTCCAAACCCTTTTGGAAACCCACAAAATTTTTGAAAAAAACTCAAAAGCCTATTCCAGCGGTAAAATTTTGATCACCAATTCGGTAAAAGCTCAGAAACTTGCTCAGCTATTCGGGGTTTGGGTCTTACTATTCCTATTGAGAATCAGGTTACTCGGGATTACCTGAATATTTTCTTTCGGGGAAATATTTTTGATGATTCCTGGGGGACTGATTTGGACGAAGTGAGATCTATAACTAAAAAGTTTCAAAATATGAAAGCTCCAGGTGATGATGGAATTTTCTATATCCTCATCAAAAAACAATCACTGTTACTTTGACTACCCCTATATTCATCAACTTTCCTTACTATGTATCGAAATTTTAGAGCAGGATTCATTTGACCACTGTGGTTTTTATCCTGTGATGACAAATCTATATCTCTACCCTGGTGCATTATGGACAGTGATTGTTCACTGGAGACCTGGTCCTACGACCCCCTTCTGTGCTTGAAAACGAAAAATGAAGTTGAGATCACACGATCAAAAATACGATTGTAGTTACTATTATTCGTATGGCCTGAAACTATATCTAACATCAGTCAAATTATATGGGTAAAAATGTGTGTCAGTTAAAAGGATTGGAAGGAAACGTTTAACAATTCAAAAGACTTACCCAAAAATTGTCGAACTATTAGCATTCTTCTGCAAATAGGTCAGGAGAGTTTTGATTGGCTTCAGCATAGTTTGAACGATGCCGTCCTGGAAGGTCGTGCTGTGCAGATCTTCGCTCACTGCAACTATCACTGCCGTTAGTTAATGTTTGATTCTGTCCCACAAAGTTTAAGCACTTCTGATCTATTCCAACAACACTCGATTTATCTTCATACACTACGGGATTTGTCCACAGGGTGAGATCGTCGAAGCTTTGTCTCAAGACCATGGTGTAGCACCACCACCGTCAGGGGGATGAATATCCGCTTAGGTGCCCGATTTAAAGGCCATTTCGCCGAATTCCACGGCAGAATCTGTGCGGAAAAAGAGAAAGAGAGGGGACATCGTGAGGACGGGAAACTAGATCGATAGTCACTCGCTAGGTGTTGATATGCTATTTCAATGATGGTCCATAAACCATCATCCCGCACCGGGGTCCGGCCGTACGCGACGGATCGATCGTTGCTAAAATTATTGTTTTCTACCGTGTCTCTATGTATGCTTATCACCTTTAACGAAATGCTTTCGGTGGGATTTTTGTTCGCCTTTCGCCAAAGCAATTTTTTGTTCTCTCGAATTTGAGTGCTGATTTACCGTGCTGTGATGTCGGTATGTTCGAGCGAACGGATTCCGATCCGAAAGAGAAGACACACACTCGATGGACAAAACCGGAGATTATCGCTCGGAAGACTCGGCTGTTATCAGAGGGGCCTCTGAGTGGAGTTGTCGCGACGCAGCAGCTGGCACGGGAAAATTGAAATGAAACCTTCACACCGACCACGACTTGCGAAGCAGCGCGCGAGTTTTCGAACCTCGGTCGATGTCGAGATTTACGTAGGTACCCCTATGTGTGCTGTGTGTCTTTCTTGTGTGTGGCGGAGCAGTTATAATGAACCATTCGCCGTAATGACGAAAGCGCGTTTTGTACATCTACCACCACCGAGAGGCACCGAAAGTCTCTACTGCTGTTGCTGTTGTTGTTTTTTGCTGTTGCTGCAGGAGAGCGAGAAGATCAAAGTTTTTTCCTTCCCCAATGTGCTGCTTTTGAATTTTTCAAACTGCCTGGGCCAAGTATTGTACTCTCGGAACAAAACAGATCTCGTTTGTGCGAAGTAGGTATATCTCGCAGTGCACACCCTACCCCATCATCATCGTCGTCGTCGTCGCCGTCGTTGGGCACCGTTGTTCGAACTTGCTTGACTGTGTGCGAGGGGAGCACCAATACACACCCGTTACAAGGGGAACGAAAACCTCGAACAGTTTCCAACTCGACGCAGTATGCCGCCGCCTATCTCGTGTGTCCGTCGTTCTCTAGCAGTGGAGCAGTACTACTAATCCACAGCAGCGAGCTTGGCCCGACTTCATGCATCTGTTGTCGTTTGGTTTCGCTATACGCTCCACGGCAGTGGTCTTCAACCTTTTTTTCCCGCTTGCAATCCCCCCTTCAATTAACCATTTAGTAAAGCTTATATGCATCACTGCTGTTGTTTGCATTGACATCTATAGGAAATTACGCATAATCTGTGTTCCGTTAGTTGTTCACAGAGGGCAGTGTAGTAAAAAAAGTTAAGGATTGTGTCCTAAGCACTGTTGACGTAGGACTATGAGATTGTTTTTTTTTGCTTAATAATTTAACTAATTAGCGGAAATGGATCTAATGTTACCCTGTGGATCTAAGATTGGGCCCATCGCTAAAAATCTGCTATTTAACAATTTTACCTAGATGAAAGCGTCATTGGGACGGTACTAATGGATATTTTTGGTCGCTATTCAAAATTTAGCCGATTGCTGAATTTATGTATGGGCCCAAATTAGGGGAATTTAGGCCGACATTACATCCATTTCCCCTATTACAAAATTATTTATTTATAAATTTTAATCTAAAATTAACAAACATTTAATCCAAAGTTTTGAAATTGGGTTGTTTAAGGGTATTGAGGTAAATGCATATTCATTCGTAATCTGCATTAAATATGAAACCCAAACCCAAAATTTCATCAATTTTGGTACACTGCACATTGGGCAAAAGTTGATAATACCGCGACTAAATTGAATATCTCGGCTGCCAAACGCTTTCAGTTAACATGTTATACATATTCTCAAAGGAAAAACTCTGTTGAATCGATTGGTGGTGGTCTCATTGGCCGGAGATTTTTGCGTACCAAGATAGAGGGCCAAGATCAACCCGAGTTCCCGGTAAAGTAGGAAATGCCACTATCTATCGACATAATTTTACACTTTACTTAACGTATATTACTGGAAATTGATAGCACTAAGTATATATGGTGTAAAGACATCATAAACGCCCTCAAAGAAACTCCACTGGCCTAAAGGAGGATCCGGAACGACCGATAAAGTGGCCACATTATAAAAAATGTCCTAGAACCTTGTGATTTAGTCTATGTTGTTCAGAATCAAGAGATCAAAGCGTATGTAATATGGAAACTATATTTTGAGGTAAAGTGGCCATATTCTGGTTCTCCGCATAATCTGGACTGACCGATAAAGTGGCCACATTATAAAAAGTTTCCTAGAACCTTGCGATTTTTTCTATGTTGTTCAGAATTATGAGATCAAAGCGAATTTAATAAAGAATTTAAATGTTGGTGTAAAGTGGCCATATCCTGGTTTTCCGGATAAACTAGATTGATCGATGAAGTAGCCAACGGCATGAGACTGGCACATACGAGCGTCAATTTCGACATAAAATTGAGTCAAAGTAAACGCAAAATTCAGCTCAATCAAACGTACTTTCGAGTTTGAGTCTTGGAGCACTTAATTTTACATAACATGTTTGTTTACGTCTCATCCTTTATGTCAAAGATGAATTCCGTCACGCGTAAGATTAGGTATTGATGAGAGTGTGTGGGTTCGAAAAAAATATCGCTGTGCTCAGAAAACGAAGCTCTTTCAGATGATATATAAAAATCGATATATTTTTTCAAATAAAGAACCAAATTAGGGGACATTCAATATCCTTAATTTTCATATTTCAAAATTCAGTTCCTATCCCATTCAAAATTAAGTTCCAAACATGTGCAACCAATTTTAGGGTACCTACTGAATAATGTTTATTTACAGTAACCGTAATGCATTTCATATAACAGCAAGTCAGTTCGTACACTGGTGAATAAATTTTTAACTAAACTGGCCACCATACAACAGGTCTTATAAGTCAAAAACAGCAACCATCTAGTTGAGCTTTCAAGTTAAAACAAGTAATTATAAGTCAAATCGTATACTCGCCGGGCCTGGTGTGAAAATTTAGAACTGAGCTGTCCACTATACAATATAGGTCGTGTTGACAGCAACCTTCTATCTAGTCGAAATGTCGACCTAAGCAAGCCATTAGTCATCAAATGGCACCAGTGGTTAGTGATTTTTTCGAGTGAAATACGATAGGTCTTGTCATTCAGAACTGAAGACAGCAAACTGCTATCTAGTCGCAAAGACCACCAAAAAGATCAGTAATTCGTGATTAAATAAGTTTAAAAAGTCCATTAACGGTTGCTTTACCGTACTTTTATTAGAACTTTAAAGTTACAGCATAAGATGGTTACATTTCTCCAGTTCGTACAGAATCTCGAACCATCCTCTTGATGGAGCCCATCAGCGCCCGCACAGTGGAAACGGACACGGAATCAGCGCATTTCTTCAATTTTACCCGCATTTGCTGGATGTCCTTGACTGCCCGCCGCTTCGTCAAAGTCGCTGCTTTGAAACTGCCCACTATTTTTCGATTGGTCGAAGTTCCGGGCAATTCGGAGAATTCATTAACTGGAGAAATGTAACCATCTTATGCTGTAACTCAGGTTTTATCCCCAAGCTAATGAGTTTGGGGATAAAACCTATCTTGTTGGCAGCATACCACTCCAGAACCACCTTGGAGTAGTAACAGCTGGCCAAATCGGGCCAAAAAGATGACTTTGCCCCTATGCCTGCGGATGAACGGCAATACACGCTATTTCAGGCATTCTTCGATAGCCAAATCATGACCTTCTTCGTGAGCTTGTAGGCCAACACCAACTCGAATCTTCCCGGCACATTCCCACGTCCAGTCGCACTACAAAACTTTTGAACGGGAAGCTGCTTAAAATCGAGTTTGTCGTATGTTTCATCATCGATCAAAGTGCAGCCCTTGTGTTTCGTCAAAACACAGTTTTACAAGAGCCTTGCACACTTTTTGGTCATGGAATTCTGCTTCGTGTGCTGGTTTGGATGTTTACTGGCTTTGTACGACTTGTATTCTTCCCTGGTAAGGATGTTCCGCACCGTTTGAAAGTTGACGTTGTACCTTCTGGCCACATCTCGGATCAAAAGACCGGGGTTGGCTTTAACGCACCTCAACACCTTACTGCGCAGCTGACGATCCCTGGTTCCAGTTTTTCGTAGATCCGCTGATTCTTTTCCACACTCAGGGTTTCCTTGTTGGTTTTGAGCACTCGACAAACTGTTGGTTTCGGCATCTTCAGCACTTTAGCCAGCTTCACCATCCAATAGGTCTTACTCATCAGAACAACTTTGTCCAAGACGGCTACCTTCTATATAGTTGAAGTCGCAAGTTGAAGCAATAAGAAGTGAAATGGTATAGGGAAATGATGGCTTCGGCATGACAGACTTTTTTCGTCAACCCAAATTGAAACGGTTATTTCACTGGATTTTCTTACCAAAACACTTCGCTGAATGAATTAAAACGATTATTCAGTCTTTCAACTACAATTTCATTACATTTTTACCACTGAGAAAAAGCAATCTAGCAGGGATTTCTTGAACTGAAACACACGCACTATAAAATGCTGCAGTTTTCGAGTTGCTGATGAAAGCATAGCTGTTTAACACGTAGCTCAAATAGAAAGGTTGCCGAATAAAAGGATGTTGCCCACAATAGTCACTCTCACTAGAGAAGATTGGAGCTTTTTAAAAGAGTTTCAAAACAGTTTTTGACAATTCTTTTGACTGAAATTGTTAGAGCAGCTGGCAGCAAAAGATCCTTTAAATTTGTCGAACCTCTTAATGGAATCCCTTTATGAAGAGCTTTGAGTGGGTTGGTTTACTTCCTTTAAATTCCGTTATAATTGCTTATCTTTTGACAGATACGCGTATTTCGCCTACTACTTGCAGACTACATCAGTGCCAAGTACTTAACACCACTGATGTAAATGAATGTGAATGATTTTCCATGCTTGGTCATAGCAAGCGAACACGTGATTGATTGATTGCGACCTAAAAGTTTGATCAATTTTCAATAGTGTACTAATTAAAAATTACTATAATCTTTATACCAAACAAGTCTTACATCAATTCTGAATCAAAA